TCTAGAGTATTAGCACTACCAAGATGCGGCTGCATGATGCCTAAAGGATGCTGCTCATTTAGCATTGCAAGGTATGTGCTTATCTGGATGAATGTTGTTCAGTCTTGTTTTTTCAGTTGTGTCTGACTTCTCATGACTCTCTTTTGAGGTTTCCTTGGCAAAGATACTAGAGTCATTTGCCATTTCCTTCTCCAGCTCGTTTTACAGATGAAGAAACTGAGGCAAAGAGCAGTAAGTGACTTACCCAGGGTCACACATCTTGTACGTGTCTGAGGCCAGATTTGGACTCAGGAAGATGAATTCCAAACCCAGTGCTCCATCCATTGCACCACCTGGCTGCCCCACACATGTATATACAAATATGTGTATGTGTGTACACGTATCAGTTTTCATGATGATAGGGTATATGTGATGATCATGGCAGATAAATAGATCCAGCTAGTTTATCTTCCTAATATACTCCCCATTAGAGACTAATTCCTCCCATATTTCTCCGGCAAAACTGAAACATCCTGCTTTCCTTAGAATAGGGGAAGATGCCCTGATTCCATTCACATCAGTTACAGAGCCACACATAAGTATGCTTTTCCCTCCTCTGTTGCCATGACAACATCAGGTGATGGTTGCATCTGAAGGCTAATAAAGTGGCTTTGCTAGGCTTTTTTTTTTCTTCCACTGGAAATTAAACTTGAAAAATATAAACTCATTGCTTCTGTATTGAACAGGCAATCTAGAAACACTTTCTCACACCCAATCAAAACAGAGCCTAAGATAGTAAGACTTCACAGAGAATTTACTGAACCCTGAGTCTGAAATTCCAGGCTCTCTCACCTTTCCAGACTTATTTCCTCCTCCATCCCTTACAGGTGCCTATGCTTCAGCCAAACTATCTTATTTGTTTAACTGGGCACAGACCCCAAGCTTCCCCAGCCCTGAGCCTTTGACCATGTTATTACCATTCCCTGGAATGAACCTCCTGCCCCTCCCCCACCCAAATTCTAACCATCTTCACAGATCCATCCCAAACGCAAGCTCTTTTATGGAACTGTCCCTGACCTCCCCATCCTGCGAATGTCCCCTCAACCTAAGCACTTTGCTAAAACCTCTCTAAGGGGACTACTTGTATTCTGATTTGTACTACAATTCTGTGCGTACTGTACAGGGGTGGGGAACCTGTGGCCTGGAGGCCTTGGCTGTGGCCTTTTGACTGAGTCCAAGCTGTACAGAACAAGTCCTCTCATTAAGGGGATTTGTTCTGTGAAGTTTGATTCAAAGGGCCACACTTCAGCATCTAGAGGGCCATGTGTGCCTCCAGGTCCTCGGTCAAAGGGCCACCCCTGAGAACCTAGAGGGCCACACGTGGTCTTGAAACCACAGGTTCCCCTCCCCCGACTAGCGAGATGATATAGAGAAGGCCCTATAAGGAAGTAAGTTATAAGTCATAATGATTATTCTCTTTGACTATCTGCAATGTTTATATTATCCATTTATATTATCCCCATTTTACACTGTGCCAGTGAAGAGAGCCCTGGACCCGGAATCAGGAAGAGCTGAATTCAAATCCAGTCTCATTCACTTACCTGGATGATCCTGAGAAAGTCATTTAACCTCAATTTCCTCATCTGTAAAATGAGGATAATGATAGTACCTGCCTCCCAGGGTTGCTGTGAGGATCAAATGTGATGACATTTGTAAAGCACTTTGTACATCTACAAGCTCTGTGTAAATGATGACTACTACTTTTACTAGTATTGTGAGAAGTAGGGAAATGGTGTTAGGGTGTCATGTAGTAGGAAGACCTCTTGATTTAGAACCCAGAAAGAACTGGGATACAATCTAGCCTTTGGCATGTTCGGCTTCTAAATCATACAGGATTTGAACCACTATGACTCTCGGTTTCCTCTTCTATAAATGGGTAGAATAACAACCACCTAACCGTACACCTAAGGCCGCCACAGGGATCAAAAGACAATGTATAAAGAAGGCTTCTCAGAACTGAGTCTCTTCACATGTCAGCTGTTGTTGTTGCTCAGATGAGCTCTTCTGCTTGAGTTCAAAAGGAAATATTCTTCTCAGATGAAAATCTTCCTTTAATTCCTGGAGGCAAAAAGAGCCAGCTTTTTGTGGGAGGAAATTTGATTTTCCTGCAGATAAGATACCTGAGAAACATTTGGACCCAACTGAAAAGCCACTATATTCACGTGCTTAAAAATCAGCTCTAGCCCCAAAGCAATGATCGGGAAGATCAGAGGCCTAGGGTGCCCTTAGCCTACCCCATTACAGACAGACAGCAGGCCCAATGGGGAGGGGAGAAAGAACCAGCATGTTTCTCCTATAAGCTTGGGGGGAGCCAGTGCTTGGCTTCATAAACATGCATGTGTGACTCCATGGCCTCTTGGGCCTTCCTTGACCTCCCTCCCTTGAGGGGCCCATGTTAGAAGCTGGGGTCTCTTTGGAAATGGAAGCGGGAACATAACGGATAAGTTGAGGTTAAGGGAAAAAACTTAGGTAGTGGGGAGGGGGTGTAGTGCAGATGCCTGGATGAAAGGAGAAAATGAGAAAAGGAGGTAAATATTATGCTACTATTGAAGAGATCATGGTTGCTGAATCATAGTATTGTTGATTTAGATCTGGAAGAACCTTTAGGGATCCTCTAGACCAGGAGTTCTTAACCTAGGGTCTACAGAGCCCTTGAGTCCATGGATAGATTTCAGAGAGGTCTGTGAACTTGGATGGGAAAAATTTGCTAATTGGCTAAAATTTAGTACTTCCTTCAATCGGGAACTATTTAAAAATCCACTATTCTGAGAAGGGATCCATGGACTTCACCAGGGTCCCAAAGGGAGCCATGACACACCAAATGTGAAGAAGCCCTTCTCTAGACTTTGAATCAGGTGTGATAGGTTCAGAGCTAGAAATAAATTTAGTATAACTCCTTCATTTTTTGGATTAGGAAAGTGGATACTGAGAGGTGAAGTGAATTACCTAAAATCACAGAGTAGTAGGGGGTAACTTTGGAGTTTGAACCCAAATCCACATCCTTCCTCTGTGACACTCTACCCCCAGATACTGAAGAGTCTGCGTCCTGACAAAGGTGGTATAAGTTAGAAAAAACAAGCCCTGTTCAACCTTGGATTGGTAATATCCAGGGAAGCATCGAGCAGACAGATGTGTGCTTGCTAGAGGAGTTTGGCATTGTCACGGAGGGTGTACAACGTAATGCCCCAGTGCAGCAAAAGAATGTGCTGGGATTGATGGTGAGGTCCCCCAGATGCTCTGGTCCGAAGATGACACTGAGCTGATTGGAATTTCCATGTCTTTATGCAGAACCTCCTAAGTGCTTCCTCTACTCTTTCAAAAAAGTAGGCCTAATACTCCGCGCAGGAAAAATAAGTGAAAGGAGTAGAATGTCTACTGGTAGACTAGAATATGCATTTGGACAGTCAACCTGCAGAACTAGTCTATCAGTATATTTATCTTGGACAGATGCTCTCAAAGGACAATGAGCCGATTCCAGAATTTTTTTCTTTGGCTAGGCACTGGAGTTATGTCACTTGCCCAGGGTCACCCAGCTAGTTAAGTGTCTGAGGCTGGATTTGAACTCAGGTCCTCCTGACTCCAGGGTTGGTAGATGCTCTATCCACTGCGCACCTAGAGGCTCCCCTGATCTCAGAATTTAACAGAAACAGAGCCAGCTGGGTTGCCTTTGGAAAACTGAATAGTTTTTGTTTAACAACCTTAGGTTTCCCCCTGAAATAAAATTTCATCTTTTTAACATCAATATTAACATTAACACCAAGTACAATAATTTCATGGAGAAATGAAATCAAGGTAAATTAAAGAGCCCAGCAAAAAGTATCTTAGTCAGCAAACATCTGCCTTAATAGTCATATTTGTGAAAGGCAACACCAAGGTACAGTATAAACTCATTTGTGAAATCTTAAAAAGAAAACAAGGATGACAGATGATTGTTAGCAGTTATGTCTCATAAAACAAAAGAGAGTCCATAGGAAATAAAACCTGTCTAAAGAAAGCTGTCAAGCAGCATCCTCCCAAGGGTATACTAGGATGAAAATGGAAAAAACAGCACAAACATAAACATGGAAATGATTTCAAAAACATATTACAACAGACGATTTTATCCATCAAGGATACTGGGATCACCTCACCTGGACCTTGACATCACAATCTCTAAGATACAGAAGAAGTAGAAATGGTGTTAATGAGAACAAAGAAAGGAAAAGTAGTCCCACTGGGACAACATGTAATTAATAAGGGGATATCCATGGAGATCAAATCAAATTATAAGGATGTTGAGTGATGATTTATGAGGTATCTAAAGGATGGGAAGATATCAAAGGTACAGACAACATTCTAGTTATACAAATAGTATATTTTCAGTGAATAAGCTTTTTGAAGTGATATCTAGTATTAACCATTACTTAATTTCTCAAAATGATGCCATCATATAAAAGTCTAACCAACATGTTAAGAATTTTACACTAACACGAGGAAAAAAAATGAGCATTTTTAGTATTAAGTACATATAATGAAAACATATACACTCCCCAAGCTCAAAATAGTTCAAGTCAGTAAATTCTTTCCCATCTTGCCTTATGTTGAGCTAATAATGTCTAAGCAAACTGGTTATATTACCGTTTATAATTTCATTTACCTCCCTGTCTCATAAAGTTGTACCTACTAATTACAGTCATGCATTCTAAATTATTTTTTTCAATACTTTATGACAGTATTTAGAAAGATACTTTAAAAAACTTTATGATAATATGCACATACATATACAAAACAGATTTAAAGTCTTTGTAGTTGTTTAGTCATGCCCAACTCTTCATGATCCCATTTGGGGTTTTCTTGGCAAAGACACTGGAGTGGTTAGCCATTTCCTTCTCCAGCTCGTTTAATAGATGAGGAAACTGAGGCAAACAAGGTGAAGTGCCTTACCTGGGGTCACACAGTGAGTAAGTGTCTGAGGCCAGATCTGAACACTCAGGTCTTCCTGACTCCAGGCCCAGCGTTCTATGTACTGCAACCACTTAGCTGCCTAGATTTAAAGTCACTTTGGGAGAAATACCACCAGCAGCAGAGAGAACCATGAAAGCCTCATGCAGAAGATAATGCTTGAACTAAGTGCTGCTCAGGATGCTAAGAGACAGAGGTGATGGGAGAATGCCTTCCATGACACATAGATTTGACATTTATTAAGTATTTACTATGTCCCAAGCACTGTGCTAAGTTCTAGTTATACAAATACAAGCAAAAAAAAAAAAGTCCTTGCCCTAAAGGTAATGAGGGAAAACAGCACAAACATGGGAGCTGTAAAAGTGAGGTGAGAGCACCCTGTGGGTACAGAAGCAGAGCCAGGAGAGAGTGAGCCTGGACGGACAGACACTTCCTGAAGTAGTGCTCCCAGTCAGGAATTCACCAATTAACAGCTAAGTGGTACAGCAGGTAGAGCACTGGATGTGCAGTCATGAAGACCTGAATTCAAACCTGGTGTGTGATCTTAAGTCACTTAACCTTGGTCTGCCTCAGTTTCCTCAACTGTAAAATGGGGATGATAATAGCACCTACCCTCCCAGGTTTGTTAGGAGCAAATGAGGTATTTGTTGTGAGAAATAAAAGACTTTCAACCTCTTTAATAAAAAGTCTTTGAGACACCAGTCTTGGGAACCGAGTTTGGGGTCTTCTTTACAATAATTTAGGGGCTCTCCGGGATCCAAGCGACCATCGAGAAGGGTGAGATCTGAGTGGTCTGGGAAGAGCGCTCTCGTTGATTTTAACGGTCCGGTTCTTAGATTTCGCTTTCCTTGGGGCTCGCGAAATCTCGAAGATGGCGACGGTTGATGCTGAGAGAGGTTGAACTGGGGCAGGGAAAAACAAAAACAACAACGGAAAACGGCCGAGGATCACTCAAGTGGATATATATCTAACAAAGGTAGGAAGAAATTAGTGGCAAAATTCTGCCTTTGTTGATCCAGGAATCCCTTATCTCTGGGAGTCATTTTGTCTGGGTTACCTAATTGGTTAACAGACTTGACTTAGAGATGGGAGGGAAGAATTCAAAGGGAAATGATTTCGGGGCAGCCCACAGAAAACATCCTTTGTACATTGAGGAAATCCTTTGACATGCTGAGAGCGCTCTGGCTGCAAGTTGTGCAGGCCTGTTTTAGAGGGAGGGATAGAAATAAGAGTAGAAATGTAAGTTGGGCGACATAATGAAAGACTTTAAAAGCTAAGGGGTGCAATCTATAATTAGTAGTGATTTCCATTCAAAAGAAAAAAATTATTTCATTTTATTTTTCTTTGTTTTTTCCCTTCCCCACCTCCGTCTCCAAGAAGGCACACACAATCTGATCAGTCTAATGTGACTATGATAAGACAACAAAGTGATAAAATTAGAGTTAGTATTCCAATTGGACAATTAAGGAATTCCAGTTTCTTGTTAGTCGATTTGCAAATAGTACAGTATAGTGTTTTCAAATTAATGCATGATCTGAAGTCAGGAAGAATCATCTCAGACACTTACTAGCTGTGTGACCCTGGGCAAGTCCCTTAAGCCTTTTTGCCTTAGTTTCCTCATGTGTAAAATGAGCTGCAGAAGGAAATGGCAAACCCCTCCAGTATCTTTGCCAAGAAAACCCCAAATGGGGTCACAGACAGTTGGACACAACTGAACCACAATTGTCAAATCAATTAGCCTGTGTGGAAGGAGGCATATTTGTTGTACTAACATCCAACAAACCTTTCTTAAAGGCTTGCAGTGTGTAGAGTACTTGTCCATGCAACGAGTAAGATGCAAAGTTGAGAAAGCAAAAGTCCCTGGGCATACTGTTCAGTAGAGGGATGAGAGCAGCTCCCACTGAAAATTTAACAATTGGCTTTCAAGAGTGAGTTGGAGTCCACTTTAGTACATCATTATAGACACAATATAGATGCATACCTATTTCAGGATAAGCTCATTAGAAAATTTGCAAAAAGGGCTGCATGAGTCTGAAGAAGAGAGTGGTTACCCTCCAAGGGATCAAGGGTCAAAGTAAGAGCTGTCTTTTATGTTAGCTTTAGTTAAGAAAGGGTACAATTCACATCACACCTATCAGATTGGCTACCATGACAAAACATGAAAGTGATAAATGTTGGAGAAGATGTGGGAAAATTGGAACATTGATGCATTGTTGGTGGAGTTGTAAACTGATCCAGCCATTCTGGAGAACAATTTGGAACTATGTCCAAAAGGCTATAAAAATGTGCCATATATTTGACCCAACAATAGCACTTGTAGGTCTGTATCACAAAGATATCATACAAATGGGAAAAGGATCCATGTGTACAAAGATATTCATAGCAGCTCTCTTTGTGGTGGCAAATGAGTGAAAATTGAGGGAATGTCCATCAATTGGGGAATGGCTGAACAAGTTGTGGTATATATGAATGTAATAGAATACCACTGTGCTATAGGAAATGATGAGCAAACAGACTTCAGAAACACCTGGAAGATTTGTATGTACTGATGCTGAATGAAGTGAGCAGAATCAGGAGAATATCATACACAGTAACAGCCACATTGTGTGATGACTAACTTTGATAGACTTAGCTCTTCTCAGCAATGCTAGGATCTAAGACATCTCCAAAAATCTCATGCTGGAAAATGCGATCCACATCCACAGAAAGAACTATGGAGTCTGAATACAGCTCAAAGTATACTATTTGCTCTTTTTTTCTTCCATTTTGTTTCGTTTCTTCCTTCTCAGGTTCCTCCTATTAGTTCTAATTCCTCTTTACAACATGACTAATTTGAAAATATGTTTAATAGGAATGTATATGTAGAGCCTGTATCAGATTGCACGCCATCTTGGGGAGGGACTTAGAGAAAATTTTAAACTGAAATGCTTATCAAAATGAATGTTGAAAACTGAAAAAAGTTAATAAAAAAAGAAACGCAAAAAAAGGGCACAATTTCAATAGGGAAAGATGGGGATCTTTGAGGGCTAGAAAAAACATGCCTGTTCCTTCCTAATCACCTTTCCAACATAGTTCTTGCTGAGTTGGACTAGGCCACAGGAAATGTCCCAAGGTCTGAGAAGTCTCAAGAAAGCATTAGAAGCCCTGGAAAGGGAGAGGACAAAGGTGCCAACTGCTGCCAACAACCCTATTGTCATGGCAAAGACCTGGGTACCCATTCATGTCCTTTGTTCCAGGGATCTAGGAGCTGATTACTGTTGGAATTCTCTGTGACAATACAGATTATGATCCTTTCAGGCCTTATTGATCATCCTCATGAGTTGCTGTGGCCAAAATAATGCTAGTAGGAGACTTTGGGTTTCTGTTGATGAGCCTCTCTGAATTAACTGGTCTGGTCCTTGGACAATAGAACTGGTTCATAATGGAAGCCTTCCCAGATTATTGCTTTTCTCCTACCAGTTGCACTGATCCTTCTCATTTTCTCATTTTTCTTTGCAGGATTGTCATCCATGTCTTGCCCACCATGGTTGTACTCCCGGGCTATGTCTTCTTTTCTCTCTGTACACTATCTTGGTTCTCTTTATAGCTTTGGTGAGTGCAAGTACCATCCCAGTGCAGATGACCTCCATATCCAGCTGCACATTTCAACTGAGCTCAGCCTTGCATCTTCAGCTACCTGCTGGACAGCCCTACTTGCATGTCCCACAGACATGATGTGTGCAAAACAACTCATTTCCCCTCTAAACCAGGTATGTCAAATTCCCAGCCCAGCAGAACCAGATTAAAATATCACCAGGAAATATTTAACAAAATAATAAAAATACAACATAGATAATGTTAATTTGTGGTTTTCTAAGTCAGTATGCAGCCAGCAGGGATCCCTTTCTATTTGAGTTTGACACCACTGCCCTAGGCAGATCTTGCCTTCTCACCTTGCTGATTCTTCCAAAGGTTTCACTATTCTGCTAGCCCCACCCGGGTTTGAAACCTAAGACTTATCTTCAGCTCTTAATTGTCACTCACCCACCCCTATACCTGCTCAGTTGCCAAGACTTATAAATTCCAGTTCCTCAGCATCTTTCTCATCTGTCTTTCCTACTTATATGAGTATTACCCTGGTTCAGGCCCCTGTCACCTCTTGCCTTGATTATTATGATACTCTTCTAATTGGTCACCTTACAGTCACTCTCTCCTCTGTCCCACATAGTTGTCAAATGGATATTCCCAAAGTACAGATTCCAATTGTTCTCCCCACCCTCAAGAAACTTCTGGATTTCTATTGCCTTTAGGAAACTTTAGAAAAGAATAGAATTTTTTTGTTTTTGTCATCTAAATCCTGTCCTGGTCTGACTTAAGGTTACCTAGTGTCAGGTCAGATTTGAACTCAGGTAGATGAGTCTTCCTGACTCCAGGCCCAGCATTCTATCCATTTCGACACCTAGCTGCCCAAGGTGGAACAAGAGGAGACATCCTTCCACTCCAACGGAGGGCTACCTATTCTCTATGGAGGGAAAACATCTTAGCTGTAAGCACTAAAGGCTAAAACTGATTACTAAGGGATTGAAATCGTCCTTCAGGATGAATTCAAGAATAAGATAGGTGAGTATTCAATTCAACCCATTTGGGGTTCCTCTTCCTTCTCTCAGTCTCTCTCTTTGTAGGTATAACTCTCTAGAACTGATCTTCAGCCGTCTTCTTTTTTGATACTCTCTCCCTTGGTAATTTCATCTCATTGTTTCCATGACTGTTCTCCCTATATCTCCAGTCCCAACTGCTTCTCTGAGCTCTAGTCCCATATTTTCAGTTACCTGATCACTTTATATGTCTTTCCATGCTCCCCCATATTCATCATCTCCATCACTTTCTAAAGCGTGACAACATTCCATTACATTCACGTACCACAATTTACTTAGCCATTCTCCAATTAATGAACATCTACTTTGTTTCCAGTTTTCTGCTACCACAAAAGCGCCTCTATGGATAGGATGTGCTGCTTGTGAGACAAACCCTTGTATTTAGTCATCTTTCCTTGATATCTGTCTGTGAAGGAAGTTAATATGCATCTTTCTCCCTCTGGAGGGTAACTGGTATCTGGAAATTCCTTGAAAACAGGGGTTCTATTCTGCTTCTCTTTCTGTCCTCAGCACTTAGCATGGTGCCTGACATATCTACCCTGGTTCATGCTCTCCTCACCTTCACCTGATAGAACATTGAGTTTGAATTGAAGGTCAGCTCAGGTGCTGCCTGCCAGAGCCCTCTCTTCCTTTTGAAATGACTTTGTATTTCCTTCTCTGCAGATAGCATGCCCCACCTTCTGCACCCTCCTAAGTAGACTAAGCTCATTGAGAACAGGGACTATTTTTCACTTCTGTTTTTGATAATGTAATAATAATAACAAAATCATAGTTAACATTTATATAATACTATAAATCAGCCACTCTGCCATTATGGTCTAATTTGATTATCACAACAATGCTGGGAAGTAGGTGCTATTATTATCTCTATTTTGCAGATGGGGAAACTGTGACAAATAGAGGTTAAGTGACTTGGCCAGAGTCACACAACTAGAAGTATCTGGGGCAGGATTTGAACTCGGGTGTTCCTGATTCCAGGCGTGAAATTCTATCTATTGTACTACAGCTGCAGAACCTAGCACAAAGTCTTTTATGTAGTGTAGGTTCTTAATGAATGTTTGTTGAATTGACACCTCCTGGTTGGTATTCCTGCTTTCAGCCTCACTTTTTGCTAACCCATCCTCCACATCTATGAAGTATCTTCTGGATATACACAATTTCTTATATTATACCCTTGCTCAAAAGTCTTTAGTTGTGTCCTACTGAAGAAAATTAAATTCTATTTTTCACTGTCATAATTTTGTATTTTTTCTAATTATATGTAAAAGTAATTTTTAACATTTTTTTAAAGTTTTAGGTTCTAAAATCCATCCCCCCCCCAACCCTTTCTAAGACGGCAAGGAATTTGATATAGGTTATCCACGTGCAGTCATGTAAAACGTATTTCCATATTAGTCATGTTGTGAAAGAAAACATAGTCCAAAAAATATACATAAAAAATGAAGTAAAAAAAAGAGTTTTGATCTGCATTCTGACTCCATCAGTTCTTTCTCTGGAGGTGGATAGCATTTTTGATCATGAATCATTTGGAACTGTCTTCAATCACTGTGTTGCTGAGAATAACTAAGTCATCCGCGGTTGTTCATCATACAATATTGTTACTTTGTACAATGTTACAATTCTTCTTACTTCAAAAAAATCCAAATTCTTTCACATGGGACTTGAATCCACTCTTTCTCCAACTCAATTTCATTTTATACCCCTTCACAAATTGTGTATAGCAAACTCCTTTTCTCATCCTGATGTCTCCCATCACTGTGCCTCCAGATTGACCTTGGCTGTGTCCACCAGAATGGATTCCCTCCTTTCTATTCCCTTCTCTGCCACATGAAACTTTCCCTTTTCTCAAGTTCTCACTCAGCACTTGCCTTCTCCATGAAATCTAGCTGTTAGGTGAAACAGATGATAGAATGCTGGGCTTGGAGTCCAGAAGAACTGAATTCAGGTTTGCTTCAGACACTTATTAGCTGTGTGCCACATGGCACACTGGACCTCTTTTTCAGCCTCAGATTCCCCATATGGAAAATGGGATAATAACAGAGTTGGGATAACATTTGCCAGCCTTAAAATACTATATAAGTGTTAGCTATTATTATTCATATGAGGTCTTCCTTGATCCCCTCCAATTTTCACATTTTAATTTGTATGAAGTTATTATTAAGTTATTTGCATAGAGGTCTTATCTTCTGGCCTCCCAGTATCTACAAATTATAAACTCCTTGGGGTAGGAACTGTGGCTTATTTTATCTTTATGGATTAATACTAGTAGAATACTTTCCACATAGTAGGTATTAAATATATAAAAGGTGTCCCAAAAGTCTTAGTGCAGTTGAAAAGCTTTAATGACTAAAAAACAAAACAACAACAAAAACTCACTGCACTAAGACTTTGGGGACAGCCTGTATTTGTTGAATTGAATTGCTTTCATGATAGGATGATATAATTGTGGCCTTAAGATGGAGGTGGGGGTGGGAGTGCAAAAGTCAGTCACATGAGTAAGGAGTTAATCTTTTCTAGTCATAATGACTCCTTTAGAAGAGGAGCAAAGGTGCTGAATTTTTAGGAAATCAATAGTATTGATATAGAAGGAACTGGCCATTTTTGTCCACAAAATCATAGAAAAAGATCTTGAGTTGGAATCCAATCCAAATCCTTCATTTTACAAATGAAATAACTGAGACTCAGAGGGAGGAAGTAACTTGCCCCAGATTGCATAGGCATTAATTGATTAATTAGTCAGGCTGGAGTCACTTTCTCTCCACTGTAAACCCAGTGCCAATCCTTCTAGCCTGTGTCTGCCTTCTTCTTCCTAGTTGGTTCTGAACAATCAGCTCCCCACAAGCCGGCAGACAACGCAGCAGTTTATAAGCAGAGGTCTGTGTCCCAGTCTAGCAACTGTTTCCAGTCCCTGGGAGGGTGACCTCAGCCCCCTGGCATTGGTCACTGAAGCAGGGTTTGTCGTTGTTCAGATGCTTGGCTTTCCCAATTCTGGTGGTGTGGAGAGTGGCAGGATGTGAAGGATTCCTGGAAGATATAGCATCTTTACTATACGCAATTTGTGAAGGGGTATAAAATGACATCAAGTTGGGAAAGAGTGGATTCAAGTCCCGGGTGAAAAAATTCGGATTTTTTTGAAGAATTGTAACATCCTACAAAGTAACAATATTGTACGATGAGCAACAGCGGATGACTTCAGCAATACAGTGATTGAAGAGAATTCCAAATGACTCATGGTCAAAAATGCTATCCACATTAGGGAAAAAAATCCCCTCCTCCCCTATATCTCCAGGTGGGATCATTTGAGAGATGCCAGAAGGGCCTGTTTCTTTCCAGTGGAAAAGTACCAGTGAAAGCTCAGCATATTTTTCAGCAGCTCAATCCTTTTTTTTTTTTTTTTGCAGTATTCCTTGACTGGTTGCCATGGTAGCAGGAAGTTCAGCTCCAGAGGATCTGAAAGGAAAGAAGCTGGCCAGCTCCTTCTTACTCTCTGATCATTGCCCTTGAAGTCTGGCTGCCAAAAAACGGTGTGCTACATTAGGTACTTTCATGTTCTTAGTGGTGAATCAAAGCCATTCACAATGAAGAATTTGAAATCTGGTCTCCAAATTGTTAGGCCACTAGACTTCGGATCGTGTTTGCCTTTTTAAAGAGTCTTTTTTTTTTAATAAAATGTTTTTCTGATTCTTGGAATTAGTAGCACACCTTTTGGAAAAATGTAAAAAAAAAAAGTGAGCCAGGTGCTTAGTATCAGAACTCATTTAAATAACTGAAGGACCATTTGCTACATTCTGGAAGGACAGGGCAGGAATATGAAAGGGTAAAAAAAGCTCACACTTATATAATACTTTAAAGTTTTTAAATGTTTTCCTCAAAACAATCCTGTAAGTAGTTTGAACATCGTTCTGCCCATTTTAAAGATGAGGAAAGTGAGGCTCAGAGAGTTGCTCAGAGTCACACAGATGGTAAGTGTAGGAACTGGCACCCAAACCCATAGATTCTGATTACAAGTTACATATTCCTTCCAATATACTACACCAGTGGTACACCTATGTTTTGAAAATTGGACCATAGGGCAGCTAAAGAAAGGAAAAGAGGATTCTGGAGATACACACACA